CTACCTCACGGCGCTCAAGATCGTAGTCAACAACCGCGCCTGCCTCGACAAGCTCGCGGACGAGCTGTACGAGAAGGAGACCCTCGACGGAGCAGCCATCAAGCAGATCATCTCGGAGTTCACGGAGATCCCCGAGAAGCTGGCTGCGGTGTGATCGCATCTTCGCAGCTCTGGCCCGTTTCCGTCCACGTCTTACATGTCTGGTTTTTCGCCCTTCGGGATTTTTCTCGCGGGTGCCACTCTTCGCGCCGCCGGCTTCCACCGCCGGCGAGCGTCCAGCCTTCGGAAGTAGCGCGGGCGTGATTCCCCTTTTCTCGCCCGCTGCACCCGTCGTACATACAGCGCCGCGCCAGACACTTGTCGGGCAGGCCAAGAGCTTGGCAGCTTAAGTCCCTGCCGCTCAGATGGCGCTCGCTGCGCACCCCCTCCCCGACCTGACGGGAAGCCCAGCAGTGCGTTCTTGGGTCCGGGCGAGCGGGGGGATTGGGAAGGGTTCAGGAGGAGGAGGAGGAGGAGGGCGGAGGACGAGGAGGAGGAGGAGGAGGAGGAGGAAGAGGAGGAGGAGGTAGGAGGAGGAGGAGGAAATAGGTGTTGCTAGAAGTGCCCCTGGCCCAAGGTGCCCCCGGTGTGACCAAGGAGGCGCCCACGGCCTCCCGAGCACCCCCTTTATCACGAGGACCTCAATGGGGCCCAGCGGGGGCTCCAAGGTGCAGCGAGGAGCTGGGGGGCGCCCTGGGCCAGGGGCTCCCTCCTCCTCCATCCTCCCCCATCCTCCCTCCATCATCCCTCCTCCTCCCTCCTCCCTCCTCCCTCCTCCTCCCTCCTCCTCCCTCCTCCCTCCTCCTCCTCCTCCTCCTCCCCTTCCTCCCTCCTCCTCCCTCCTCCTCCCTCCTCCTCCCTCCTCCTCCCTCCTCCTTGGCACGAAATCGGGCCTGTCCCTCCACGGGGGGAATCTGCAGAGCTGGTCCACAAGAGAGAGTCGGGGGACGACGTTTCTCTGGTGTGCTTGTGGTCCTGTGTTCGAGCATGGCTTGGCTATGTTTTGTGGTTCGTCCAGACTCCGCCTGCAGGGGGACGTGCCCCGACCCGACTTCAGCATCCCCCCCGGGATTGGAGGAGGACGACGAGCGTGCTGCGCGCAGCCGGTTTCGGCCCCGCCGCTGGGCGCCGCACGTCCCGGGGAAAGCCGCCATATATGCGCGAGCGGCTTCGCTGACCCCCCCTCCCTCGTGGCGATCCCTCCGGGGTGGACAGACCCCCGACCCTGCTCCTCCTCCCTCCCTCCCTCCCTCCCTCCTCCTCCTCCCTCCTCCTCCTCCTCCTCCTCTTCCTCCTCCTCCTCCTCCTCCTCCTCCTTCTCCTCCTCCGCCCTCCTCCTCCTCCTCCTTCCTCCTCCTCCTCCTCCTCCTCCTCCTCCTCCTCCTCCTCCTCCTCCTCCTCCTCCGCCCTCCTCCTCCTCCTCTTCCTCCGCCCTCCTCCTCCTCCGCCCTCCTCCTCCCTCCTCGTCCTACTTCTCCTCCTCCTCCTTCTCCTCCTCCTCCTCCTCCTCCTCCTCCTCCTCCTCATCCGTCGATTCGTGAATCGTCCGTTTTCGGTTCTCGAGAGGGCGCCGCGGCCGTCATTTTCCAGGCTCGCGCCCGCCAGGCTTGAGCCCGAGGCCGTTTTCACGAAACCACGTTTTGCTAAGGGGGTTCTGTCCATCCCCGAATCCCCCCATTTCGTCCGTCCTGGCTTGAGATCCGCATTGCAGCACACTGCTGTGTGTAACACGCGCCGCTCCGCAGCACGCCGCCACGACTTGCTTGGGCTGCGATTGGAACGGCTGCGGCGGGGTGGAAAAGAGCCTCGTCCGTCGCTGCGCGCACGCTTCGGGTGCGCACGCAGCGCTCGCGCGGCAGGTGTGGAACCAGCTTGCTTCGAGTGCATCGGTACGTCGGGGCCTCGTGGGTGTCGCGGATGTGTGGTGACGACGAGAGGGGGGAGGGGAGGAATGGGATTCGGGGACGGAGGAGGGGATGGGGGCGGAGAGAGGAGGGGAGGCGAGAGGGTGAGGCGTGGACGTGGGCGGACGAGGAGGACGATAGCAGCGCAATCGGCGATGGCGTCTCAGCTACGGCGGCGAGCAGCGGTTCATTGGCGTGGGGTGTTCTGCGGCGCCGTGCCCGGCCCGGCTCGCCGACGTCGGGCACCAAACGAAGGGCTTGTGCGTCCTTTCCACGGACGCGAGGGGCAAGAAGGAGAAGCAGCATGCGTGTAGCTCAGGCGGAGGGGGGAGGAGGGGGAAACGCACACACACACACACACACACATGCACACACACACACACACACATGCACACACACACACACTACACACACCACACGCACACGCACACGCACACGCACAACGCACACGCACACGCACACGCACACGCACTACGCGCACACGCACACGCACACGCACACACACGCACACGCACACGCACGCACGCACACGCACACGCACACGCACACGCACACGC